TTATTATTATTATTATTATTATTATTATTATTATTATTATTATTATTTGGTACTAGGGATTGAACTCAGGGACATTTCACCACTGAGCCACATCCCCAGCCCTTTTTTGCATTTTATTTAGAGACAGGGTCTCACTGAGTTGCTTAGTGCCTTGCTTTTTGCTGAGGCTGGCTTTGAACTCATGATCCTCCTGCCTCAGCCTCCTGAGTTGCTGGGATTACAGGTGTGTGCCACCATGCTCCACAAACCAAAGCATTTTGATAAAAGAAATCATAAAGTGAAAATACTCATGCTACAAATGTTTTCTATATATACCTATATGATGTGTTGTATGTAACCAGATTCCAGAATGAATTGGAGTCCCTGTAAAGAAAGCAAAAGGAGACAGAAGCAAGGTACAGAAACAACAGGTTACATTAGGTCACTGGCATCATTACTACATTACTATTCATGGTCTCGTTAGGCAAGTTACAGAGTTAGTAACATTATGCAGTTTATTAATCAGTTACAAATTATGTTGCAATGTGCAATGTTAGAAGCTTAGTGTAACTTTCAAGAAAGTCCATTGTTTAAAGTTATTGTTATGTGGATAGGCTTTAGGAGCAGCGGAACTGGGTGCAACATTGTAGTTGTCTAACAAGAAAGTTCCTTTATTCCCAGGAGCTGACTGTCTGAGATCAAGAGGCTGATAAGACTCTAGCACACAGCTTCCTCATGAAAGGCATTACCACAGCAGCTAGGCATTCTGCACTTTTGCAGAAACTTTCCAGGCACGGAGTATGTATTAGTTATCTTACTAGTTCCTGGGATAAACTGCAGAATGTTTCAGCAGTGGAAAACAACATGCCTATTATTCCCTGGGAGTTTGTTCATCAGAGGAAATTCGCTGTCTTGTATATTTCCACAGCTAAAACTCTTACAGGTCTCAGCACCTAAAATACAATTTGTCTCTTTCCAAAGTCAAGGCCATGAAATTGAGCATACTCTGGGAATGTTTATATAAAAATCTCACTCTTAAATATGTATTATTCCTGTATTTTGGGGATCAATATTTAGAATTGATGTAGGAACAGAGGAGGCTGGACACCCGAGGAATTTTCGGGACTGCAGCCAGCCAGTCCAGAGTGTGGCTTGTGCCTGAAAGATTCTCTGGACAGAGATTTTGGGAATTTTTTTGAACTTTATATCTAGTCTGTGTGTGGGGGGGAGGGTTGGAGCTTCACATGACAAGTGCTTTTCCTTCCATCCTCTAGACCAGGCACAGGTTCCACAAGTTTACCAAGAAAACAGAGATAATATCTTTTTGTACAACAAGCTTACAGACTATTCTCTATCAATCACACCTTTTGTGTGCAAACCTGGCATTTATAAGAAAGAGGAAGCTTCACAGCAAGTGCTTTCTGCAGATATCCTGCCTGCTGATATTCTTTGTAAAGATCTTTCTGACTAGGGAAGCTTAATTATAGCAAGAGATCTTCTGGGTGGGGGTCTGTGGCCTGCTTCAGTATAGTTATATGTATGAAATAACTCTTTATAATCTTAGCAAGGGACAGCATTGTCCAGCCTAGGTTAACAACTTTCAAACAACGTATTTATAAATTTGGATGCATTTATAAAAATATATTTAGATCTGCTAGTAGTTCATGAAATGAAAATTAACAGGAAATAGTTAAATAAATAAAAACAAACACTTGCAAGATAACTTTAGACAAAGTATTTCTCTTTTTCTTAATTTTTCTGTTTGAGAAGGTATTAGTGATAATTATATCTTAAGGTTTTTATGATCTGAATGAGTTGATACTTGCTAACCATTTGAAATACTGAATCACACATAATAGTAAGAATATATGAAATGAATTTTAAATATTTACAAACCATATATGAAATGAATTTGAAATAATATTGACAAACCTATATTATAATTGCTTGAAAATTCATCTATAATCTTTACTTTTTTCCCCCACATTTTTGTATTGGTGCATTATAGTTGTACATATTGATAGGATTTGTTGTTACATATTTGTACATGCATGCAACATAACAATCTAATTTGACCAATATCACTCCCCAGCACTTTCCCACTCCCTCTTTACTTTCCACCCCTTGGTCCCTTTTATTTACTGATTTTCCTTTGATTTTTAGGAGAACCACCCTCACCTTTGTTTTCTTTTTTCCTCTCTAGCTTCTGTATATGAGATAAAACGTATGCCGCTTAACTGAGTTTGACTTACATTACTTAACATGATGGTCTCTAGTTCCACCCATTTTCCTGCAAATGTCATAATTTCATTTTTCTTTATGGTTGATTAAAACTCCATTGTGTATATATACCACATTTCTTTATCCATTCATCTGTTGATGGACAGTTTGGCTAGTGTGAACTGTGCTGCTATAAACATGGGTATGACTTTAATTCATTTATAAAACTGTATGACTATAATTGACTTATAAACATAAAGATGACTTTAATTTTTCAAGGTAAATACTGAAAAGTGGTATAGCTGGATCATATGGTGGTTCCATGCCTGTATTATCTTTAACCAAAAGTTTCCTATGGACAGACTCCATGTTTGTTAACTTTTGTAACTCTAGTTTCTAGAGTTGGCTCTGACACATAAGAGCTATTAAAGAAATATCTATTAAATTAGTGAGTGCCATGTCTCGTAATGAAATGAGTTGTCCAGGATACAGTGACTTCCCTGTTAATATAATTATTTGGTCAAAGGATGTGATGATCACCAATCACTGATGTATTAGAAAATATGTTTAATCATAGCACTAGTGAAATTGTCTAAAATTTCTTCCAAATCTAAAATTCTATTATTCTATTTACTGGAAAGTGAGGTTTGTATTTTGTCTACTGGTCTTTTTCAATTACCTAACATGCAGCCTGGTAATTTATGTTAAAAGAATAAAGACATGAACGAAACCATCTTTTGAAGGTCTGCTACTTTTCAATAGTGTGAACAGAAAATAATTTTCATTTTTAAAAATTATTGGGGATACCTGTGATTGAACCCAGGGGTTCTTTACCACTATGCTGCAACCCCAGCCCCGACCCACTTTTTAAATTTTTGAGACAGGATCTCCTTAAGTTACTTAGGGCCTCATTAAGTGGCTGAGGTTGGACTCCAACTTGGGATCCTTCTATCTGAGCTATCCCAGTTACTGGAGTTACAAGTGTTTACCACAGTGCTGGGGTATTTTTAAAAGTACTTTGCTTTTTTAGATATTTTTTAAGGCAACCAGTTACAATGTTTTCTTTGTGGGAAATTTATGTCCAACTGTCCCAGTGAAGCCAGAATTAGACAGGCAGTCAGTATAATTAGGTAAATGGAGTCAGGTTGGGTCAAAGAGGCCAATTTTGAGTGAGTCTGGGAAGTTGGAGACTGTCCCCTGAGGGATTGAAATGTTAATTCCTTCAGAGCCCTTCCTCCCCCTTATCAAGAACCTGCCCTTCCTCCTACTAGCCCAATGAGTTGCCCCTCCCTTCAGGGAGCTATCAGGTTGTTTGTTAATGTGTGCAGGGCTGCTCCATCCTGCCCTTCCCCCTTCAGCTCACCTGTTTCCCACCTTTGTGCCATCCCACCAAGCTCCTGGGCCTAGTCACATAAGCAGAAAGGAGAAAGATAAGGAGGAAAAGGCAGGAGAACAAAGGAAGCCTAGGACATAGGGAAAGGGCAGAACACCTCACCTCTTGGGATACCAGGATACCAGCTATGGCCCCCTTCTCCATCCTGGGAGAAGTCTAAATTATCTCTTTTTAAATAAACCCTGCTTCATATGCTTGCCTCTGCATGCTTCTCTAATGTTCAGACTTCAACATGTGGGGAAGCAGGACTCCTCACCGATAACTGGAGGTATCACCAGTGATATTTAATATCACCTTAATGTTGTTGAGTACAATATATACATACCCAAAACCAATGCATACTTTTATTTCACCCCTAGTATTTAAACTCTTCAGAGCAATTTTTTTTTTTTTTTTTTTTGAGCAAAATGTTTGAACTAGACCAGGCCACTGCCAAGATTCTAGCTATTTTTATCTGAAATAAAGGAAACAAACAAAAAGTGAGTTCTTTCCTTCTATGAATGGGACAGCCAGTGGCAGAAGAGGAATACTGATATCCCATCCTCAATAGTACTGATGAGAGAACAGAAATATTCTCATTTAATAAGAGTTTTATAATCACTACCTCATCCTCAATCCTGAACTTTCAATTCTTCTATTTGTTTTGTAATTTCCCATAAAGAAGAGAGAAAAATCTCAAGGAAGAAGTCAGGCTTAAAGAGGATATTCTGTCCATAATAAGAATAAATAAATAAAAAGAGCACGCTACACCAAACTCCCAATTCAACAGTTAAAGATGAAAAGGAATTAATTTTTATCAGTATCATAGAAAGAATGGCCATTTCCCCTTGCACAATTACAAAGTCCCTTGAACATGTTAATTATCAGCAACTGGCATTTACCATATCAACCGGTAGTTGGTCAATGAAAGATGACACATCATTCTGAGTCAGAAATCAACTCAGGATAATAATTTGCTACACTGCCTTGTGAACAGCCTCAAATCATTTCACTCAAGTATCCCTTCGATTAGTTCGCAGACAAGGCTCTGGCTTTCCTGTCCCACCTCCTTTTTCCTCCTTAATGCTTTGCCAGGTTCTGCTCTCCTGCTTTCTGGAAGATAAGACTTGCTTGCGCAGCCCGGTAGATTGGCAGGTCACAGGGGCGGGCTGGCGCCTGCGCACTGTCCTATCTGTGTCGGGTGAAATATGGAGGCCACAAGGCCCTTCGCCTCAGGGTGGTGCGATCAGTCTTTCCCCCTGGCGCTACGGGGCCTTTTGAAGCTGTGGCTCTGCGAGCTGTGGCTTCTCTTGTTGGGTTCCGGTTTGAACGCGTACTTTTTGCCGCACGAAGAGGACGTAGACTTCATCAATGAGTACGTGACTCTCCACAATGACCTCCGGGGCAACGTTTACCCCAGAGGGTCTAACCTGCGCTTCATGGTGAGACTCCTGGGCGGTTTCCCAACCTCCCGGCGCTCTGGTCACCACGCACCCCTCCGCCTCCGGAAGTCTGGGCCACTGCCCTGAGGCTTTGGATTCCTGAGAACCACACTTACACTTTAGGTTTCAAACATAATGTGTAAAATCAATGGCCCTCTAAGACATGGTTATTAAGAGGATTTTGCATAGGACTGAGTCTAAGGCCAGTGTGGCACTCAGCTGAGGTGCATATTTTAAGAGGGCACCACTTCAAGAAGATACTTTAATGTAGTAGTTTTCTTTTTTTTTTTTTAATTAAAAAGTCAATCAAACTTATTGACTTATAATCAAGAAAATATCAAAATTTTAAACAAAGACAAGAATCCTTGGAACTGAACTATAGAGAAGCAAGTAAAGCACTCTTAGGGCAGTGCAATTGCAAGGTTAGTCTGTTTTTATTTAAAATTTTGATTTTTTTTTTTTTATCGTGGATGTTTTTCACATTAATTCCGACTTTAAAAAGTAGTGTTTGTCTTCATTACTGAGTGTACTCTCCACGTTTTGCTCCCAAGGTCTCCTCCCTAGTCAGCATTCCTTAGCTGCCCTGCTACCTCCCTCCCACTTTCGTCTCTTTCCACCTTTTTTCTTTTTTTTTTTTTTTTCTATTTTCATTTAATACCTCATCAACTATTCTCTCCTTGCTAGGAGAATTTCATAATGGTCATTAAAAAATGACCACAAAATCCAACAAGTAAAAGACTGTCCTCTTACTAGGCAATCAGGAGTTTATAATTTACAGTATAAATTATATTACAGGTACTACCTCCATATACATATTTTCTTCGTTCAGGAATAGTTCCTGGCCAAAAAAAAAAAATAGAAATGGGATAAATAAAAGCATTTGATTTTTAAACATTTGTTACATAGCAATTGCTCTTTTAAAGGCTGTGGCAAACAGCCTATAAGCAAATACCAGCTATATAGAAGTGTTGTTTTCCATATGGTCACTGGCATTTTCAATCATTTGCTGAATTAGTCAGAAAATGATACTTAGTTTTAATGTTAATTTTTAAAGTACGATATGGATTAGACATATTTTAGTTTTTTCTTGTTTATTTTCTTTAACTTTTATTTTGCCAGCATTTTCTCATCAAATTATAGGTAGTTCCATTTGCTGAAGATAGTTTTGTCCAAGTCAGATTTTTATCTTTTTAATTTAATCATAGACTTTGGAGATATTTTAGAATTTTAACTACTTATTTTCTATCCATTTGGGATCACTTCTGTTCCTTCTAAAATTGGAATTATCCTTCCTCCTGAAAATTAATAAATTCACAATACTTTTTAATTCGACTTTTCATAGGTTTTTATATCTCTAAAAATTAAATTAGATATTTCAAATATAAAAAAGTAGTTTAAAGAATAATAAACCTGGAACTCACAATCCATAATTTAACATATGAACATTTTTACAGAAATAATATTTTGGTTATAGCTTAAGACCCCACCCTAAATTTTTTCCTGTTTCTTCTAAAAGTTGGTGTATGTTTCCCAACTATTTCTAGGAAATAAATAATTAGTATAAATACTGTATTCTATCATAATAGTATGTTCTATTTAGAAGTTTTCTGTAATATATTAGGAGATCAGATGTTTTATTTTTTATTCTCTTACTAGTTATTCTTAGCATTTAAAAATATATACCCCATTTTACAAATTCCAAAGTTAATCAGATCACTGTCATCCGACATGGGTCAGAAGTAGGCTCTCCAAAGAGGAAAATGAAACCCCAAATCACCCTGATTGGATTCTTGACTTTTATTGCTGGAAAGAATTTCAGGATGCCTCCAAATCAAGGCACAAAGATTTATTTAAGGGCATCAAAGGTATACACACCCCAAAGGCAGGGTGTAGGTGCCCCTTACCTTTTAGAGAAAAGACAAGTGACAACTGCAGGGTTGAGTTCTCTGATTATGTATATGATTTTCCTGGGAAGAAATGTGCAGGTTCTCAGGAAACCTCCTTTGAAAACAAATGCCATGACAGACATTTGATATTTGGGGTTCATTATTTTTTGGGAGGAGGGTTAAGGAGTCTAATCATAAATCACTTTGGGGCACACTATTTTCATTTTGAACCTGGTTACATTTAAATTGTTTGTGTTCTACTTGATCTGTTACAAGTATATGCTGGAGGTTTTGTCCATACAACTAAAGAAACAAGCATGACTGGTCATGCTCATAGATCCAGTCTTCATCTATTAAGGGCCTCTTTTTCCCCAAGAATCCACCTATGTTATTAACCTCCTTCCCAATATTAAAATTTTTTATAACACTTAAATTCTTTATATTGCTCTTCTATGTCCATGCTGTTGATACCAAAGGGACTCTTGGGTTGCTTCCACCCTTTGGCTATTTTGCTTAATGTTACTGTGAATGTTAACAGACAAATATTTGCTCTAGTCCCTGCTTCTCTTCTAGGTATGCACTCAGACTAGAATTGCTGTATCATTTGATAATCTCATGTTGTTGTTTTTTTCTTTTTTCAAAGAACTAGCATTTTGTTTTCCATAGTGGCTGCCCAACTTTTGTTCATACTGGGAATGCACAAGGATCCTAGTTTCTTCATATCTTTGTCAAATCTTGTTATTTTCAGGTGTTTTTTGTATAATAAATGTCTAATGGGTATGAAATGATAGCTCATTGTGATTTCATGATTAATGACTTTGAGCATCTTTTCATGTGCTTTTGGCTACTTGTTTTTCTTCTTTGGAGAAAGGTCTATTTACACAGAATCTCCCAGACTAATGGAATAGAATATAGGATCCAGAAACAAATCACTATACACACACACACACACATATGGACAAATGATATGCTGTTGAACTCATTTTTAAAGTTTTATTGGGGACTTTTACATTAATATTCTTAAAAGATATTCATCTTTAGTTTTATTTTGTTTTAGTATCTTTGACTTTGGTATCAGGATAATGCTGTACTCATAGAATTAAGAAGTGCTTCCTCTGTTGGTGTTAAGTCATGTTTAAGTCTTTGGTAGAATTCACCAATGAAGCCATCTAGCTGAAGGACTTCCTTTATTGGCAGATTTGAATTACAGATTTAATCTCTTTACAAATTATGAATTCGTTAGATTTTGTATTTCTTCATGATTTAGTCTTGATGTATGTTTCTAAGAATCTGTCAACTTCATCTAGGTCATTCATTTAATTGACCTACATATGTTAATAGCACTAGTGGTCTTATAATACTTTTTATTTATTAAGATCAGTAGTATTGTCCTCTCTTTCACTTCTGATTTTAGTTATTTGAGGGTTTACATTTCCAGTTTTCCCAGTGCCATTTGTTGAAGAGGCTATCTTTTCTCCAATATATGTATTGACACTTTTGTCTGGTATGAGGTAACTGTATTTTTGTGGGTTTATTTCTGTGTTTTATATACTGCTACATTTGTCTCCATGTCTGTTTTGGTGCCCATACAATGCTTTTTTGTTATTATAGATTTATAGTATAATTTTGGTATTATACTAAATACTAAATATTTATGAAATATTGTGATGCCTCCTCCTGCTGCTGCTTCTTCTTCTTCTTCTTTTTTTTTTTTTCCATTAAGGATTGCTTTGGCTGTTCTGGGCCTCTTAGTTTTCCAAATATCAGGAGCAATTTTCTATTTCCACGAAGAACATCATTTGAATTTTGTTGGGAATTGCATTGAATCTGCATAGCACTTGTGGTAGTATACCCATTTTGACAATATTAATTCTGCCTATCCAAGAACATGGGAGGTCTTTTCATCTTCTAAGGTCTTCCTCAATTTCTTTCTTTAGTGTTCTGTATTTTTTATTGTAGAGGTCTTTCACCTTTTTTCTTAAATTGATTCTCAAGTGTTTTGTTTTTCTTTGAAGCTACTGTGAATGGGATGGTTTTCCTAATTTTTCTTTCAGCTGATTAATCATTGGTGTGTAGGAACACAATTGATTAATAAAGTTTAATTTTATATCCTGCTGCTTTGCTGAATTCATTTATGAATTCTAAAAGTTTGTTTTTTTTTTGGTGGAGTTTTTTTTTTTGGAGGGGGGTGGTCTTCTATATATAGGATCCTGTTGTGGGCAGACAGGTCTTGTTTGAGCTCCTTTTTCTTATTAGTATTTCTTTTATTTCATTCTTTTGCTTACTTGATCTGGCTGAAGATTCTAGCACTATGTTGAATAGAACTGGTGGAGATGGGCATTCCTGTTTTGTTCCAGTATTTAGAGGGAATGCTTTCAGTTTTTCTCCATTTAGAATGAGTTGGCATTTGGTTTATCATATGTAGTTTTTACAATGTTGAAATATAGTCTTTTTATTTCTTTTTTTTTAGTGTTTGGATCACGAATGGATGCTGAATTTTGTCAAATGCTTTTTCTGCATCTATTGAGATTATCATGTGATTCTTGTCTTTTAAATCTATTGATGTGGTGAAATACATTTATTGATTTCTTTATGTTGAACCTATCTTGCATCTTTGGGATGAAACCCACCTGATCATGGTGCACTATCATTTTAGTGTGTTTTTGTATGCAATTTGCTAGTATTTTATGGAGAATTTTTGCATCTATGTTCATCAAGGATATTGGTCTGGAGTTTTCTTTGCTTGATGTGTCTTTGTCTGGTTTTGGATTTCAGGGTGATATTGGCTTTGTAGAATTGGCTTTGGAAGTTTGTTCTAGTTCATGGAATAATTTGAGGAGTATTGGAATTATTTATTCTTTAAAGATTTAGTAGAAATTTTCTGAGAATCCACCTTGTTGGCAGGCTTGATGACTTCTTCAACCTCATAAAATTAACCTGTTTAAATTTTCTATATCTTCCTTGTTCAATTTGGGTAGGTTATATGTCTCTAGAAATTTATCAATTTCTTCAAGGTTTTCATGGGCTGAAAATGGATTTTAGTAATTCATTGGATTTTAATAATCTGCGTTTTTTCTCTCTTTCTCTTGGTTAGCTTGGCTAAGGATTTGTCAA